GGGGGGGGTTCCTGGGGACGACATTTGGACAGAAACTGTAACTGTTGACAATAATCCAAGTACGTTGTTGAGTCTGAAGAAATCGGAACGGAAAACAGGGGGTGGACATTATACCAAGGCCTTTTAGTTAGAGGATTTTCATTGTTGCGTTTTGATTGCGTTGGGGCAACGTTGTCTCATTACGTGTTTTACATTACAGGCAGAGGAATCCGAAAAATGTAACAGAAATGTGGCTTCGAATAGACAGCCATAACTTTTAAATGCAAGTCCTTCCGTGTTCGTTCAAGAGGAGAAGAACATTCACCAGTTATTGACAATGAAGGTGTCGTCATCGTCTCAAACTGTTCACACTTTCGTCGGAAGGAAAGAAAGTTAGGCATGTTGACCGTTTTACAAGTTTCAGTAATATGGCGCCCCTAATGATGAGTGAATATTCTGTGGTATAAGTATTGTGACGGATTTTTCGAAGAGATAACTCTGTCTTCTAGTTTGCTATCGTTTTTCTCTTCTGAAGCCTATTGGAGAAAAAAACGGATTACTACTGGTGGTTGAAGAAACCGTAACTGAACTGAAAGACAAATCTGTGTCAGGTGCTCATTTTGAGTCTGTGAGTGCTTCCTTGGCGGTTTTTTAACGAGATGTGATCGTCGTGGGTCGGTTTCCTGGAGCTACTGCAGAAGGACCACCAATAAATGCCGAAAGGTTGGAAAACTTTCTGAACGCCTGTCACCGTTGTTGAATGCTGGACACGGCTTTTGCACCCACGTGTGGAGACTCCCCCACCCACCAGAGCAGCCCGTGCGTCGCCGTGGCAGCGTGAAGTCAGGACCGGGAGTCGGGATCTCCTCCTGCCGCTGGTACAATGAAAAGAGCGAGGAGGGGGAAGACGTACGTAGAGCTTTGCGTGTTTGCGGGCTGTTGCCTCCTCGTCTTCGTCTCCGTCGCGCAGATCCTCGTGTTCAGCCACCGAACCCGGAGCTCCACCGGCCCAGCGGGGATGGTCAGCAGCCTCGCCTCGGCAACCAGCGCCGACGGCAAAACTAGCACCAGCAATGTCAACAAAAACAATAATAACAACGCCAACAACAACAATAAGAACAGCAACAACAACGCCAACAACAATAACAACAACAATGCCAACACGAACAAAGAACTACCTCGGCGCATGCACCTGGTGTCCGGCATGCAGGCCAGGATCCGCGCGCGCACCAAAGTGCAGCAGGAGGTGCGGGAGCTGGAGCGCTCCCTGGCCAAGCTCATGCGGGAGAACTCCATCACCCCGGACGAGGCCAACGCGCAGTTCCGCAGCGAGCTGTACGCCCGCCGGGTGGGCGGCATCATCCAGATGGCTCAGGAGAACGGGGTTTTCCCGCACAAGGTCAACGGCTCGCGTCTCCGGCACAGGGGGAAGAGTCTCCGGCCGTCTTCCCCCTCGGCCGGGTCCATGAGAACGGACAACGCCTCCGGGGATCCGGAGAGTGACGGCGGGGACGCCTATAGTCTGTTCGGGGACAGCCCGGCGGGTGTTGCTGGAGGTGGAAACGAGAATGAAGTGCCTTCTTACAACGCCAATGTCGGCGGCGGTAATGGTGGCGGAAACAAGACGCTGGTCGCGGGGACAGAGCTGGGCCAGCAGCGCGCCAGCAAAGAACAGAATGACGTAATCAAAAAGCGCAAATCTCGACCGGCTCCGTACCGTTTCCGAGACCTGGACGAGTCGGAGGAGTACGAGCTGAAGGCCGTTGTAAGCAACGCCAGCGCCGCCAAAATGGAGGACTTCTACCGGGAGGAGAACGAGAGGATGCAGGCGGCCAAGAGGGCCCAGGCCGAAGGAACGGAGCTCTTTGTGGACGAGGAGGCTCTCAGGAAGGAGAGTGGCACAGACCTCAGGGTCTGCCCGAGGGTGCCCGAATCTTTAGGTAAGCTTGGCTAGACAGAGCTGCCCGAGCCTCATCTACCCGTGAGTGGTTGGTTCGCAAGCGGGTGCTCTGGTGTGATTTGCTCCTTCTTTCCTATTAAACATCTGTCGTCTTTACCACTCATTCTTTTCTCTTTGTGTGACACTCTGTAGCGTCACCACATTTAGTGTTCGGCACTTGCATGGCACATTAAAAGTTTGTGTTGCAAGTGCTGTAAAATTCTTACAAATACTGAACTAAACACGCGGCTCCTTTCTGTGTGCGCTGTTTCCTGAAGCTCGATTTTGGTTGTTTGTAGGGACTGTTTTCGAGCTCGTGTTGTTGACGGAATTCCTCTGTTATTATTTTTTGTACGAATTATTTTATTTTGACAGTTTAATGGGTTCTATGTGTTCTGTGTATGGGTATGTGGATTTTTTCCCCTTTTTTTACTGTCGTTTGGCATTTCATTTTTTTTAATGTTCTGACTTTTTACGATTATCAAAATGTGCCCTATATTTGATTCATGTCGGTACTATTTTTTTTTATCGTTCAGTAGGCTTCTGCAAAGCTGTTGGTATTGTTGTTGTTCTACTTTCGTAGCTATTTCCTTCGTTTCTTTTTTTTTTCTCAAGCATACAGTTCTTCGGTCTTCTCACAGCTCAAACAAAGACAAAACACTGTACTACGTTTTATGCACTCATGGATGTTATACGAGCTCGTAATGCCTTGAGGTCAAAACAAAAAGTAGAAATGAATGTAATGTGATTCTGTACTGCCGAGGTGTCGAGTTTCCTTCAAATCACCCTTCGGGACGATTAATGTCCAACTCTCTATGTCATTTTTTCGGAAGCAGGAGCCCAGCTGTTCCACGTAAATGGGGCAACTATTCAAAATTTTACGAGCCCACGTCTCGATTTACATAAATCATGTACGTCGTGTTGTCCACGAGGAGCCAGTAGTTTGGAATTGATGATTTAGAATGTTGGTATTGATTGTGGTAAACAATGTGATAGCATCGTTTTGTAGTCAGTCTGCGTGTTGTTTTATTTTATTTTGTTGTTGTTGTTGTTGTTGTTTATCAGTTAAAAGTA